AATTGAACTCTTGCCCTCCTTGGATTTTGAGTCATGAGCAGAATGATCCAAGGATGAAAGTGATTACTTTACAGTAGAGCTACTCCAACCAAGCTTCCTAAAGGGACTGCTCATTCCTACTCCCCACATCCCAGAGTTACCCTTGTTTCTGGTTTTTCTTTTTTTAAATTTGTTTTATTTTATTTATTCATTCATTTATGTTTTCATTTGACCAGAGAGAGACAGAGTTTGAGAGTGAGAGAGAGAGGAAGTGATAAAGCAAGCCACCAGATTCAAGACTCAAACCCTGGTCAGTCATGTGGGAGGGTCCAGCGCCATAACCACCATGTCACCTGCTGGTCCCGTTTCTGATTTTTCTAAAAGCTGACTACTTGGTTTACTTTAGAATTCTGTGATTTTTCCTGTAGTCTTCCAATAAATCCCTTTTTGCTTACATTAGCCCAAGACTGTCTCTGTTGCTTGCCATCAAATAATTCTATCTGATTCCACAGGGGTGACCCTCTCTCTGTCATGCTCTACCACCTGGGTATCCTTTCACCAAACCTGTTACTTTAGAACCGAGGAGTCTCAGATTGTCCTCTCTGCAACATTCTACAACTCCCAGGCAAACTGCAGCTTCTAATTCCTTACGCCTTCTTTCAGAAAGTAACCATCCTCACTTTAAAAAACAAAAAAATGTTCCATCTATGATCTGTCATCATTAACACTGCATTTGTCAGAGAGGGTCCAACCAGAAAAACAGAATCTTATAAGCTGCCAGAGGGCATATGTGCTTTCCAGAGAGACAGAGAAGCAGAGGTTGGGGCCGGGTGGAGAGAAGGCACCACACTTGGACACGTGGTCACCACAATCCCATCTCCATCCATTTCACCATGCACACACCTGGAATATTTCTCAAGCCCCTGGGCCTGGGATTTGAACTACAGTCAACCAGGTAAAATCCAGATTCTTTAACCATTAGGCTACAAGGCTGGCCCGCAAGTATTTTTAAAGTTTATTTATTTCTTCCAAGAGAGAATGAGTGAGCAACCCCCAACAGGGTCTTCATGCCATAATTCACTCCTAGTCTCAGTTGGCCTGGATCACAGGCACTCACATATACCCAGCATGGTCAAGGAAGTCCCAGGACACAAATTCAGCACCTTTCCCATGCGATTTCAGATGTGTTACTACTGTACCACCACCTGGCCCTCTAAACAATTCAAAGAGAGGGTGTTTAATGCAGAGAATTGGTTACACAAGCCATGGGAGAATTGATAAACCAGCAGAAGATGTGGAAATACCTCAGAGCTTAGCAACAGCAGGAAGCCACTACCAGCTCTAGGCTGGGAAGACAAAAAGAGCTGGTATTGGAACTCAAGATTTAGGGTCCCTGGGGAAAGCTGGGACCATGGCAAGTGTGTCTGCTAAGCACTTCAGTTGTGGAGAAGATGCAGCTACTGAAGATGCCACTCATGGCAGAGAGATGGGGAGAAACACCCTGCTTTCCTCTTGCACTTCCAGATCCCGCCAGTGCCTTCCATGCTTGACCTAGATGTAACTCAGCTGACGGAGAAGCCCAAGCAAGGAACCTACAGGGTCAGCCTCACTGGGACACAGAGCAGCAGGGGAAGGACAAGGAATGGATCTAAGAACACATGGACTCTGGACAGTACTTGCTTCATTATTTAAATTGCATTTGCTGAAGTATATTTAACTTTTAAAACAAAATGAATTTACCATTTAAATAAACAGCAGGTGATGTGTATATCTCAAGTTTCAAAATATATGCACTATTCTTTTTTAATCACTAGAACACACGTGCACTGACCAGAGAGACACAGAGAAATAGAAGAGGAAAGCACACCTCAGTGGGGCGTGGTCATGCCTCAATCCCTTCTTCTCCATTTCTCCATCCTATTGGGATTCTGGACATGCATATGTCAACATGCTCATGGGCTCTTCAATCCACTGGGGCTGAGATTCGAACTGCAGTTGGCCGTGTGTAATCTGGATTCCTTTAACCATCAGGCTATGAGCCCAGCCCTACATACATTCTAATTCCTTTATTTTGTTTTTTAGAGAGTGATTTTTGTTATAGGGTGTGTGCACTCGCAAGAGAGACAGAGAGACAGAAAGCAAGAAATCACTCCCTAGCAAGGATGGCCATGCTACAATCCCTTCTCCTCCATTCTCTTCTCTGGATTTTGGGCATGCACATACACACACACCCAGCATGAATTTGAAGCCACCGGGCCAGGGACTTGAACTGCAGATGACTATGTGTGAGTCTAACAATGTAACCATTATGCCATTTGTGGTCCCTCTAATTCCTTATTAAATCAGGAATCACACAAAGTATAATAGGAAAGTATTATTCTACTAGAAAAAGTTCTGTATCCTAATCATGTTCTTGATATAATCAATGAACCCATTGCTTTCTTCACTGTTTGTGTGAATGACACTTTCTTAGACTCATAAATTTATAGGGAGAAGGGATACAGAAATCTCCAAACAGTAGTTCCACCAGCAAAAGCAGCACCCATCATCCCCACACCTCCAGGCTCCAAAGATGTGAGAGAACAAACAGGGCGGTTACCATTTGGTGACTTAGGAACACAAATCACTGAGTTCCTCCCCAACCCCCTGCTTTTTCTGCCGTGTTATTTCCCTGCTGCTGCTGTTGACAATGAGACAGACTAGCCCAGAGAAGTGGGAGTGGCAAAGTGACGTGACAACAGCACGATGACAAACAGGATTCTTTCTCTTATGTAAGTTGGTAGAATGTGCGTAAATAAATATTCTGTTCACACTTTGTTTTAGTTTGGTTTTGTTATTTGAACTCTACCAGCAATGTAAGGATGTGATCTGAGCTCTCTGTTTTATCAGTCTGCTGCCTTCAGCTGAGGCTTACATAATTCTGAGAAGCAATTCTGGTGCAGTGTGTAGGCTCAGTCCCCACTGAATCAGTGCTGGCTGTCCTCCCTGCGGTTATATGGAAACTGTGAGCCTGGGCATAGGAGAGGGAGGGGGAGACATCAGGAATGGGACAGTCTAGGTTCTTGACAATGTTCATTGCATAAGAGTTGTTGTTGTTTGGTAAAGAATTATTTTATTTATTTATTATTTTACATTTGCTATAGGACACATGCACTCGCCAGAGAGAGGCAGAGGAAGAGAGAGAGAAGGAAAACGAGAAAGCAAGTCACCAGGTCCAGGATTTAAACTGTGATCAGCCATGTGGGAGTCCAGCACCTCAACCACCATGCCACCTGTGGGCCCCTGAATAAGACTTTAATTGCAGAGTCAAGGGAGAGACTGAGTCAGGTGTCCTCCTGCCCCCTCCCCTAGCACATACCCTCCAACACTTGATGTCCAGAGGGGATGCCAAGTCTCCACCTATAGTCCACCTGGGTTTAGGAATGCTGCCCCAAAGACCTTCTTGCAATGAACTTCTATCCAAAGAGGTGAAGCCTTTCAGCTGATGTTTCTACCTGATGTCCATTAACACCTTAAACTTAATGTGTTAACACATGAATCTGTTCATCTCTTCTCTGACCTTATCCCCTACAGTCATTTGTATCTCAGGTAGTGGGACCTCTAGCTAGCCATCAGTTGTTGAAGTTAGAAATTAGGATCTCATCCTTAATACCACACTCTCCACTGCCAGTATCATTACATCCTTACCAGTTATCTAATTTACTTTACTTCCCAAAGATCTATGAATCAGGCCATGTCTTTCCATCCCCAGTCATCACCACAGCTCAAGTAACCAGTTATTTATTATTTGGATCATGTAGTTACTTCCTAACTGATTATTCTGGATACATTTTCAACATAGTGGTCAACTCATTCATTGAATTTCCAATTGTTTACTGAGCAATATGTTAGGTGTTGGTGATACAATAGTAAGCAAAAACAAAGCCCTTGTCCTCATAGAACAAATATTCATACTTAAAACAGTTTCTTTTCTAAAGAATAAATATTGTCATGTCTGGGAGCCAGCAGGCGGGATAGTGGTTAAGGCACTGGACTCCCACATAGCCAACTGCATTTCAAGTCCTGGACCTAGCAGCTTGCTTTCTCACTTTGTCTGTCTGTCTGTCTGTCTGTCTCTCTCTCTCTCTCTCTCTGGTCAGTATACATGCCCTATAGCAAATTAAAAATAATAAAAAATTAAATAATTATTTATTTAAAACTGTCATGTTTGTCTCCAGCTATAAGTGTGTTAGTGTTATCCCACTGACCTTAGCTTAAAAGAGATACAGAGAGTTAGAAAGACAGACATAGTGCCTCCAACAGAGTTTTCACACTGCATCTACCCCAGCCTTCAGTTAGCCCCAGAAAAATACCCAGCATACTCAGGGAGATCTCTGGACTTGAACCTGAATCTTCCCCTATGGTAGTGCCTTGAAGAGCATTGTATTTTATCATTGTGCCACCACCAAAATTCCTTCTTCTGTAGGTCATTTAATGCTATCTCCTTTACTTACCTTCTCAACCAAATGGAATCTATTTGGTCACTCAAATGCACCAAGTCTTTACATATCCTAGAACATTCTACCTCCCACTATCTTGTCTAACAGCTACTCACCTTTAGTTCTCAGTTTAGACCTCTCCTGTCCAGGGTTGCCAGCTATGATGAGTTAAGTCATGTTAGGGATAATGGAAGTTGGAGGATACCCAGGATTCCACAGACCTGAAACCTGTCCTGCTACCACCACTACTCCCATTCTTTCTTCCAAGTCTTTGGGGTGGGGGTGAGGGTGGGGGCGGAGAATGTGCCCAAGGAACAAGGCCAGAAAAATGGACACTGTTTATTTCTCTAAGGTTGTTTGGCCTTGAATAATGTAAAAGGTTTCTTTGGCCAAGATTGGAGGGAGTCCTAACAGATCTCAGAAGACAACATTCACCACTGCTAAGCATCTGCATACTCATTACCTTTGAAGGGAACCAGAGCCCAACACATTGGAGATCTGTCCAGTGGCAACAGCTCTGGCAGAAGTGACCTAACTGGATTTTTCCTCTAGTAGGATCTCACTGAGGCCAGTTCTTCAGTCTTCCCATTGGTTCTGTGAGCTACTTGATATTTTCCCAACAAATCCCTTCTCTTTAGGACTACTAGATATGGTCCCTATTGTTGAAAACCAGAAACCCTAAATAGTAAAAATCTCCTTCTTTGGTACCCCACCCAGTAGTACCCACTCTGATAGTGCAAAATGGCAAACCTAAAGACAGTTGTATGAAACAGGATAGAGATTCTAGGACTTGACTCACCTTAGACTTTTCTTGATAGGCTGGTAATGCAATAACCCAGACCACTTTCCCATTTCAACAAACTGGGAAGAAGACAGAGAATTTTAAAAAGATCTAATCAAAAGAAGGAGATTCACCTTTAGCCCTGTGGCCCATTTAATATCCTGGCCCGTTGCCCATCTGTATTGGCATATCTCCTGCTTGGAAGCAGAGGCAGAAAGAGAGGAGCTAGATTTCTCCCTGGAGTGCAGTGGTGGTAAAAGAGCAAGAAATTGTTGTTATTCCAGGCATTGTGTGGTTCCCTGTGGAATGGAATGATGGCATCCCAGCTTTGTCACTTCATGTTCATCTAGCTCTACTTCTGTCTCCTGGTTTCTGCCTCTGGTTCTTCTTAGCCCTAGCGAGCATTTACTCTCGCTGGGTCATAGGTTCTTGCAGACCCCTTCTGACTAATTACTTGCTACCTCACTGGTTCTGCTTACTGTCACTTCTCTGTGTTTCTTTTAACCTGTGGCCATTCTGCTTATCTCTTCATTCCAAACTTCACAAAAGATTATGTGACTAGATCTGCTGATCACTACAGGGAGTCCTGACAAGACCTATAGTCTCTGGCCCCTTTGCTCATAGACAAGTGATGTGGCAAACACAGAGATCTAATGGATTCCATTCTAACCCAGCACTTCAGACTCAGCTTGTACAAACCTGAGCACTTTTGCTCACAGGTTTATTCTTTTTCCCATGTTCCTTAACTCAGTAAATGTTCTGCCATAGAGAACTGCTCTTGAGAACAAAACCTCCTCTTAGATCCTACCTTTCCTGCCTTATTTCCTTTCATTCCCACAAAACCATAGTCTGAACTTCTTAATACATAATTTTAAAAATGAAATTAGCCTTCCAACCTACTGGCCAATGAGCTCTCCTTTCAACTATACTCCACACAAAGGGCTTTATTTTCATTTTTCTATTTCTTATTGTATTTTCTTTCTTCTGCAAGATTATAAACTAGAATGCTTGAACATTCTCATCTACTTGACCACGAATCCCTTCAATTAGGAAGGATGGCTCAGAAATCTTTGGGGCTGGCCAGGGTGAATGTCAGTGCCTATCTAAAGACTAATTCAGTGACAATTCTCAAACACTCTTACTCTAGAACTTAGTGCACATGGTTTCTCATTAAACCCTCATCCCCTGGTCCAGCACCTCACTTTAAGGAGATGTGTAGAATAAGAGTCATAGACAGCTTAGTGGGGTCCCACCATTCCTCCCCTGTGATGGTGACTGCTCTGTTGGAATGAGCCTATGGAATAAAGTTTTGACAACACTTCTCTTCAGAGACTGGCAGCAGCTGAGAAGACAATCATGACCTTAGTGGTCCTTTG